AGAGAGAGAGAGAGAGAGAGAGAGAGAGAGAGAAATATACCAAGAGAGAGGAGTAGAGTGAAAGTAGGGAGAAATGGAGAAGGGTACAATGATACAAGAAGTCGTTACTTCTAAGCAAAGAATTATTATTACATGATTAATCAAAACCCAGAAAAACTTACATTTTACTATAAAGTGCAGTACAGTGTAATGCGCGTGAGCGAGGTCTGAGTGTGTGTGTATGTATGTGTGTGTATGTGTGTGTGTGTGCGTGTGTATATGTGTGTGCGTGTGTGTATGTGTGTGTGTGTGTGTGTGTGTGTGTGTGTATGCGCGCGCGCGCGCAAAGTGTGAGACCACGGAGAGAGTGCCTAAAGTTGGATGTTTGAAATACACACTACACCAATTTTATCTAATGATTACTTTCAGAGGAAAGGGGCTAAATTCATTCAACTTATTTTACTTTTCTTCGTTATTTTAATATCACATAATTATTAAGTACAAACATATTCTTAGCTGTTGTGGCAAATTCCTACATTCAGAAACATTTCATTCTTTTGGGAAGTGTATTTTTTTAAAGTAGATCGATTTATTTCAATTCACACTGCCAAATTTATTCCAATAAATGTATATGATTTTCTAGCAATCCAGCACTCCTGTGAACTATGCATTATTTTTCAAGATTTCTCGATGTGTACGATGGTGGAGGAAAGTGATATAGTATTTGTATTTCTCTGATTGTTTCTGATAACCTTTCAGAAACTCATGCAGTAGCATTTCCTTTCCTTAAGAGATGTCAAGTTGGAGATTTTTTCTTATACATAAATTTTGACTCAAGTTCCATCTTCTTACAATGCTCTGCTTACTCTGCTGGGTTGTCGAAAAACCGACCCTCAACTTTAGTTCGCGTTGAAGAGTAGGTTTTGTTATTTGATAGCATACTTCATGTATCACAATATTGTTATATTTTTACATGTCACATGAATTACCTAATAAAATGTTTCAGAATAATGTGTTCCGTGGATTCCCCAACTTTTATTGTTTTATAAAGGGGACTTCTTCGCAAATTAGCATTTTCTTTTTACTTTCGATCTTCTTAAAATTTTCTTTTGTATATCTCACAGTATATTTATAAGGCTAGCAATTTTCTTGATAAACGTCCACATTTTTCATAATGTATACATTAATCTTATGTTGAGAAACTTGACATTTCAGTCACAATGCCTAGTACTAGATTATTTTATTAACTGGAATTAAGGGGCGATTTGATTTTCACTTGAGTCATTTCTCTGCCAAAGCAATCATAGCCCTAAAACCTTTTTTTGTGTGACGACAAGTTATGACCGCAATTCAAGCAGTTTTAGGGAACAAAGTAAACCTGACGTGCCGAGAAATAGTAGCACAATAAACCTAACATAAAACAACGTCTCACATGAAGTATTACAAGAAAAATAATTAGAAATATAAATATTTCATTCCAATATGGGAATATTAAGAAACAAAGAAAGAATGAGTATAATTGTTCACGAAAAAATTAAAACTCACTTAACTAGGACATCGCAAAATGAGAAGTGAAGATTCATAATACAACAACTACTTCGCAAAGAATATCAAACACGAAGTAATGAAATCTGTTGGCATTGAAATATAACATTTCTTTTTCAAGAAGTAACTTTTGGTTCAATTAAAAGTAATAGAAAGTGACAATCAACATCATCTCAATAATTTTATTTCTCTGTTGTTCCAAGGTATTTATCACATCAGAAAATAGTCAAAGAGTTTCAGGAAGATGTACTTAATTCAATAGCATTACATAATCTTGCCAGATTTTGAAAGCCAATGAGAAATATCGACAGGCCAATTCCTACATCAAAAATACATTGCAGAAATTTTTATTTCATTGTCATCCTTGAAAGGCAAAAATACCGAAAATTGGTTCACATTCTTAGAGAATTATGAAGACATTGGCTCTTTAATATTATATGTTTAGGACACTGTCTGCCGACTAAAATATTGTCTTCGAAGTATATGAAAACAAAAGAGAATATTTATAAAATATACTTAACGCAGATTTTAAAAAAAACACTTAATTGGAAATTTGTCATTTTATAATTTTAGTTTGTCTCCTTTAGATCACTCTTCAGACAATGTACTAAGATTAACTAATCATCAAAATTAGAAACCTGAAACTTACCTGTATTCTCGCCTCGGTGAGTCCGATTTTAATGGCCAACTCCTCCCTGAAACATCCGATATATGTTTAATGTAATTTGGATTTTTAATTATAAGGGGAAGAAAAGAAAATGCACAAATGTTAACATAACACAAGAGATACAAAGCTGTTTGTTATGGCAAACCACATAGTATATATTAAAAACATTTTTAAATGTCATAGAGGCAATAATAATAATAATAATAATAATAATAATAATAATAATAATAATAATAATACCATTAATATATTTAAACATTTTGTAAATATTTTGCACAAAATATTTTAGAGAAAACCATAGTCACTAGATCTTTTTTTTGGAAACCGGCTGCAACCTGAAATATATTTTATATTTAATCAACACTCAACATATTTAATGGTAGATTTGGGTAATATTACAACAATAATAATAACAATAATAATAACAATAATAACAATAATAATAACAATAATAATAACAATAATAATAACAATAATAATAACAATAATAATAATGTATTAACAATAACAAGTACAATTTATTTGTGACTAACGAGGCTCAAGGTTGACAAGAAAAATGGTCTGTTTAGAAGCAGCAACATAGCAACATGCAAGAACTGGGAATAGTATGCTAATAGGTTATATATAATGCTGGAGGACTGACGTTTTGAAGGCTCCTTCGATATCTACAAATTTATTCACATTAAAATTTCTCCTTACCAAAATATTTTGCACGTTTTGGCACTGGATCTTCAAAACAATATTTTCTTACTTTTATACAAAATTTAGTATAGATACTGTCGCATAACAATAGAAGATAAGTGTCCCTTACAAAATTGTACGCAGGAAGCGAACATAGCTAGTTTCAGAATTCAGTACATAAGAAAGCAAATAATACAACGGAGGTTTTGATATATTTGTTAAGTCAGTTCCTATTACTGAGTTGACCATTTATTAAGCAATTCTCTGAAAAAAACAAAAATCGTAATTGCAAATACATTTATTTTAAATAGACGAAATTGGAATTGATTTATAAGGTTGTCTTTTTCAGGATAAAAAATATCAAAAACCAATCAGTAACAATATAACAGCTGTTTCTCGCGGTTCAATAAAATTCATTACTCATTTCGAAAGCCACTAAATATTAATCCACGTTCATTGAAGTTCGAACGAGTAAAGGTAGTGTCAGGAAATTATTTGAGAACACCGCGAGACCAAAAGGCGGGAGTCTCGTTAATGAAAGAGAGATCAAGAGTGAATTAGAGAAAGCAATTAATCATGGATAAATTACCAACAGAGAAAGTAATTAACTAAAGACATAGTCATTAGTCTATAAATTCAGCTAAATATACTCAAACTGCAACTTAAAAACACTGATGATCTCTGAATCTCTCAGACACCCGAAAAGTCATGGAATTAAATTGAATGTGAAAGTTTTCCTGGAAAATTTATCTCTCTGTATGTAATACGTCGAGGAAGATTTACGCTTTTGTACCATTTATAACATTTGTCAGCACAAAAGTCAAAAAGTGAGCTACAGCAATATTGGCAGTTACTCTTCAGTCCTACATCTAAGAGAATTTTAGAGTAAAAACACAGAATTTCAGAGACTATGTAGAAAGGGCGAAGCAGACACAATCCGCAACACACTCTACAAACTTTACCATCGCGCGTAACTCAGAAACAATTACTTTGATTGATTCCGGGCGCGTCAACTGATACGGTAATTAATCCCGTAAGTGTAGTGTATGTTTATCGTGGTAGGTGTCTGTGATCATCTTTGGATGGAGAGATCCGGCGCCGAACTGCGCGTCGGCTAATGAGGTTTTCCCCAACACGGTAACTCCCTCCACCGGGACACCGCCTCAGCCGAAACAAGCTCTAACCTCCCGGCTGGTTTTCCGGCATGTGCGGTGTAGTGTAGTAGATAATAATACTTTTGATCTCCAAGAGAAATAGGAATATTTTTCAATTTATATTTGCATGCCACTACATCCCGATCTTCTGAAATTTAACACCGTGGATGTGTTAGACATTAATTCTGGTGCACATTCTAGAACGCAAGTACAAAATAAATGACCACTTATTTTATTTTGCTTTTAAATTAAATGCCTCAGAAAGGCTAGAACTTTGACACTCTTCTCCTAAGTTTTCACACTTACTTGCTTATCTTATAAATATCCCTGGAAGAATACGTTCAAATTTCTCCATTAATTACACTGTTGTAACCGACAAAAAATTGTAATAGTATTTTGATTTAATCATTTGTGGGGAAGCAACAAAATAATGGCCAACGTACGAAACATAGAAAGATATTCGATGAATGTGCGAGAGGAACCGCATCTCCCAAGAATTCGCCATTGACACCGAATAAACCCAGGGACCAGCAAGGGCTATATGCACGATTCTAACGGACGCGTTCGTTAATTTATCGCCATTTCCATGCCGCTTTTGTTCTCAGTAGGAATGATAAAACAAAATGATTGATGCGGCCGTTCGGAATGGCTGTAAAACATTCTGCTGCTGGTACTGCGGCGGTGGCGGCTGGCAGGGAGCGGAGGGCGGCGGAGCGTAAAAAACGAGCAAAGGACGCAGCGGTGGTCACGGAGACAGTGGCAGCGAGATAAAAGAATTGCTGCTCATGGTAGAGGCAGTATTGGCACAAGAATTATTGAAGTGGCACTAGCAATGGAGGAAGTGGTGGTAGTGGTAGCGATACCGGTAGGGTTATAGTAGTGTAATGGTAATGGTAGTGGCAATGGTGGCTGTATTAAAGGTGGCAGTGGATGGTAATGGTGACAGATAGCGGTAGATGAGGAGGAAACGGACGATAGCGCCAACACTTACACGTTGTACAGTCGTCGAAGTTTCGAGTACAATTACGGGCTTGCTTAGTCACAAGGTGCCGGGACCTGACCGGATAGGTCAGGTCCCATTCTTAAGGAGACCCTTCCGGTCATAAACACGGAGCTTACGTGAATCAACAACAGCTGCATTACACAGCGGTACTTTCCGGAAAATTGGAAATTCGCAAGTAACTCCATGCTTCCGAAATCGGGTAAGTATCTCACGATCACTGCGAGCCAAAGGCCAATTGGTCTCCTTCCTGTTACGGGAAAGTTATTCGAGAGGCTTCTACTCGCGCGAATTCTGCCAACCGCTCTCTCGCGGAACCTCATCAGAGATGAACAGTTTGTCTTCAGACCGGGCCATTCCGCTTCAGTAAAAGCACTTTGCACGGCTCAGAAGATGTCCGCTGATCTGTTACTTACACAGGATGTACCTGTCATATATCTCGACATGGTGCAAGTCTTTGACAAAGTGCCACACAGTACACTCCTCATAAAATTTCGGCACACATTTCCACAAAACGTAACCGAAATGGTTAGGTCTTTCCTCACAAACCGCACATTCGCGGTAAATGTGAGCAAAGCGAGATCCTCAAAACGGAGGATTGCGGTCGGAGTCCCTAAGCTCCGTCCTTTCTCCGCTACTGTTCACATTGTATGTCAATGAAATCCCACATATACCACAAATACGACTTTTCCTTTACGCTGATGACATAGCCGTCTTAGCAAGAGGAATAAACTTAGACTACAAATTGAAAATACTTGAAAAATAGATGATCCTGACACTGAAGTGGGCGGAACAAAACCACTTCATTTTCTCAGCGGGAAAGACGCAGACAATCTGTTACACCCGCCTTAAACTCAAATACACTAAACGTTTCACATCACCAAAACAAATTTTAATTGGCAAACAAAAACTGACATTGGCGCCTAAGGCAACTTACTTAGGCGTCACATTTGATCGAAGGATGCGCGGGCATTTTCATGTCCGGCGAATTCGATCAAAATTACAGCAAAGAGTTCGACTTTTACAACCTCTTTTGAGGGAACCTACTCTCCCCTTGGAACTTCGCTTGGCACTCTTCACAGCGGGTTGCCGGTCTGTGGCCACCTACACTGTGACAACGTGGTGGATCACAGCCCAGACGTACAAGGATACACTGGATACACTAGTACAGAGCAAAGTTGTATAGCTCAGAGCACGCCCTCCTATATCAGTATACATAGAAACCTTTAAAAAATCTTCATTAGTGGTACTTCAATTTCGAAAGTAGTTGAAGTATCTACATAATTACAAAAAATTACATTTAGTATTGACGACTGTTAAAAAGAAATAACGAAAAAATAACAGGACTTGCATCAAACACAGACACACCTAACTAGCGTGCTCGAACACAAAGTATTATACTTGGAAATACGTACTACATGTTTTCTCCTGCGACGTAGATACGCCTGACATGGATGGATGAGAATCACCTAATAGACTTCGACAGAGAAAACAGATAATGGGTAAGCAATACGCTCTGGGGATGAGATCGCAGACTGCCACTGCTCAACCCACTCATGTCCAGCGCTGACGCGTCCATATCTGCCCCGCCTCGCCCCGCTCCGCCCGCTCCGGCCCCGCCCCGCCTGTCTCGCCGGCCTACTCTCTCCCGCGCTTGCCAGGGAACGCACATCAAAACCTGCTCACATGGGTCGCTGATTTATTCCGCGCCCTCTTAATTGTCCTCTTTGTCATGCAGCCCACGTGCGCTCAAGCATGTCCCACATAAGAAGCGTTTCGCCCGGAATGCCACCGAAAGAAAGAGCATACAAGTTGATCAGATGTCTGCAAATTGCTTTACGTCATTCCCATGATTTATGGATTTAACCGCGGAGGGTTCGTTAAGAAAATATTTGTTAAGAACCGAGTCACAACATTCCTCCGTAAAATCGTATATATTATTTAATTATGTGGATGATTCAGAACGTCGAGGGCTCTGAGAAACTTCCTATGTTATTTTTCATCAGATGACTATAAATTATAACACTAATTTCTACTATTCTTCATGTCAGACAAGCGAATACGAACAACATATAAAAGTTAAAACGCCGACATGCTAAACATTGAAAGTTAACCTTCAGCTAGCATTTTATTATCCCAGGTATTAGTGTTTATTAATGATCAAACAACCAATTCGTCAACACTTAAATCGTA